GCACGACTGCTTTTCATTCTTTGAACGCTCAAATAGTAGCAGCTTAAGGAAGAAAGAAAACTTTTGAGCTTAGCAGAATTTGCCGTGGAGCTTCTGTTGAAATACGAAGCTATAATTCATGCTGCACCTTGACTTTTTTCATATGGACACATTTTAATATGGGAGCTACAGATACCACTGTAGAAGCTGCGGTGGCAAAAAGTACCTTCAGCAGTATGAGAAAACACAGCAGGCTGGATTTGTGTTCCAGTTTAAAAATATAGAGAATGGTAGGGAAGAGTCCCCCATCAAATAATTAGCTTTATTTACCTTGATTCCTTTTCTCTAATAGAAACTGTGGCATTTAAATCTACGCTAGCTGCAGCAAAACATATTTGCAAGGGTCGGTGTTGTTAGTTTCACTTCCAATTAGAGCTGTATTTCTGTCTCAGATGCCAAGTCCTCATATTGTTCTTTCAGGCTTTTAGAAGAGGTGTTGCATTAATATATAGATCTGTGTGTGTGTGTGTGTGTGTGATCTTACTGCTGTGTCACTGCTCACCTCCCCGCTACTTCACTCTTACACCCCTTTGAAAATCAAACCCCAAATGTTGAACACGCGCAGAGAGCGAATCCACAGAGGAGCACTCAGATAGCTGTGCACACAGCAGAGCCCTGCCCCTCTGCTTCGGTTTCAACCCGCTGCTTTTTTGTCAGGCAAATCCCTCACTCCCTTCCGTGGAAGTTTTGGTAAAGTCTGCAAAATATTTCCCTGGGACCAGAAAATGAGATTCTTCCTGTGCCAGGGAATGCAAAAAGAAGCCCTGTTTATGTAAGAGTTTGGTGGTGTGTACAAATATAACACTTAAATATAGTGTGTTAAATGTGTGCAGCATCAATCAAAGGAAAATGATTGCTGGATTTTACAACTATCAGCGTTGCACCTCCCTGCCAGCAGATCTGTTGCCATCCTCTGAAGGTTGCATCATCCTTTCTCTTACTTCTTGTCTCTGGATGCGCTGGAACAATTGTAAAAAAAAAATATTCAGAAATAGCCACTATCTGTTAAATTGTGTCTCATGTCAAACAACCCCAGCCCTGCTTAGGGAGTGCAGGAACAAAAGGCGGTGCTCAGAGCAGCCCGAGGGAGCAGGGCTTGCTGTGCTCTCTGGAGCTGATCACGGCCTTGGGAGAACTTTGCCTGCTCTCAGGGAATGGAGATTTCGAGCTGCAGGGTGGAATTGGGTCGGTCAGCAACGGAGTGAGAGCATATTTGGAATTCACAGCCTAAATCCAAAACGCGTTGGAAAGAAATACGGCCGTAGTCACTGTCTCAAATTGAAAATAGTGAGAATAATTATTTCTGAGGAAGGTAATAAAACTGCTATTTCTCTGTTGTAAATTAAAAATATATGTATTTTTAAATTGTGTAAAATCCGCTCTGAGCTGTAGAATTGAAGTGCTGGCAGCGTTCTGTTACAACGCGCAGCAAACAAAGCGCTTTGTTAACATGCAGATTTCATAAAGCAGTCGTTTTCTTGGCCGACTTTGAAGACTTTACAAAATGGTTTTAATTCCTCAAATGCGAGATCTGAAAATCTGATGCTCTTTTTCTTTCCCATAGGATTTTGCACAGAGCTCAGGCCAAATGGATAATCTGTTATCTCAGCAGAGGGGTATGTCTCCATTGAATGTAACGGAGTACAACTGGGTAACAAAATGTGTACATACTGTGTTTTGCTGCGATTTGGATATTTTTTGAATCTGCATCACCATAAAAAGGAATACAGTAAACTGCAAAATGATTTTCCACTCTTGGGAGAGGCTCTCTAGCTTAAAATCTGACCCGAAAATATGTGACTTCCAGTCTTTGCTCACGGTATCAGGAATCTGGGCTGTTAATCTTTATTAAACGCTACGTGGTCTTCTGTCTTAAAACGTGATACTGTATGTGCACGTATTTAATTAGCTGTCACAAAGGCTGCTTTCAAAAGTCTTAGGTTACAGCGGCCGTGCAGCCATCCCAACCCACCCGAGGAGCCAGAAATCAGTAAAATACTGCCCTGTAATTATTCCACAAAGTTCCTCGGTCTGCAGAAGAGTTGCATTATTTTCTCACTTGTAAATATTGCATAAAACACAGCTAACCCACCTATGCTGGCCGGTTGGGAGGCGCTCAGCTAAGGCAGCTCTGTGCTCGTTAAACAGATGGGAAATTGCAGTATGCTGGTGGGAAAATCATCTGGAGTCACCCACGTTTTGCATGAAGTGCATCTCCCGTTTTGCCCTTATAGTGGGCAGAGTTTCACCACTGCACTGCTGGGGGGTTGGCAGGGGAGGAATGGTTGTAAGTCATAAGCTTTTTTAAAAATACATCGCAAAATAAAGGTAGGTATGGTGTGATTTTTATTGTCAGCATTCTCCCTTCCAGTCTGAAGCAGCCTCGTGCAATGTCTGCAAAACAAACTTTCCAGAATTAATGTGTTTGCATGAGAATCTGCTTGAGAAACAGCTAAAGTCCAAGCAGGGAACTGCTTTTTATTTTCATTATTCAAATGGAATGAGCTTTTAAACAAAGATGACTACGTGGTGACATGAGAGTGTGATTTCTTAAACATTCCCCAGATGCAAAAAGCAGAGATAATAATAGCAGCATAGGCAGGATTATTTTTATCTATTTTGTCATGCCAGTGTGAAGGGCAGCATCCCCCCAAAATGCAAAGGGGAGCAAAAACACTGCTTATAAACAGGAGGGGAACAGCTGTTTGTGAGGGTGGATAGTGATAGGACGAGGGGGAATGGTTTTAAACTGAGACAGGGGAGGTTCAGGTTGGATATTAGGAGGAAGTTCTTCACCCAGAGGGTGGTGAGGCACTGGAACAGGTTGCCCAAGGAGGCTGTGGATGCCCCATCCCTGCAGGCATTCAAGGCCAGGCTGGATGTGGCTCTGGGCAGCCTGGTCTGCTGGTTGGCGACCTGCACATAGCAGGGGGTTGGAACCAGATGAACATTGGGATCTTTTTCAACCCAGGCCATTCTATGATTAAAAGAGAACTTGGGAGTTCTCCACTGCTCGGTGCGGGGTTGGGCCTCGCAAACCTTGGCACGTGTGTGCAGCCTGCTGTCCTCATGGGAAAGCTGTGGGTCTGGGGGCTGAGGAGCAGCTGCTGAGGAGGATGCAGGGCAGGATGGGTGCACGCACCGAACGCCGTGGGCTCAGAGCCCTGCGCTCACCTCCCTGCGTGGCGTGAGGACCGGGGAGGGGTGAGGACGTGACTTGGCCGGAGTTGGCCGCCTGTTCATTATTCTTGTTTTATTGCCATCATTCTGAAGAGGGAATAACCGGGTAATTTTACCTTCTGTCTCCCACAGAGAAGCGGTTCTGCGCTCAGGACTCCCTCGAGCTGCCCAACCGCTTCCCCCGGCAGTGCTGGGAGGAGGCCCGGCAGTTCTTCCTGCGGCGCTGACGGCCGCGCCGACACACCGCCACCGCTGCTGTACATACGTGGAATTTGCACTATTTATATCCCCAGCAATGTAGATACTTTCAAGTCCTGTTTTGTAATTTTGATAATTGGAGTTGATTTCAGTCGTGTGTCCCAACGTCCCGGATCCTTCCTACGGTGCGGTGTGCTGGCATTGGAGCTGCGGAGAGGAGACTGCAAGCAGAAATGCCTTCTGTACATCTGTAATAAAGTAACTTATTCTGGCTGTGGTGTGCTGGGCTCTGAATTGCTGTGAGCAAAGGCTCTGGGGGGGGGGGGCTGGGGTCAGAACGGGCCGTGGGGAACCTTCGGTTGTAGTTGAGTGGCGACTCGTGGCGGCGTAACGCGGATTTTGTAAACCACGCACATTTTCAACGTTTCGATAAGACTTTAATAACGCTCCTTTCAACCTTGTGCTGTTCTCTTAACGGGGTAAAATCTCCACGAACCGCAATTAAAGCCTGTGAAGCAGCCGCCGTCTCCTCGAGCTTTCTTCCACGCGCTGCCCGCCCCGAGCCGCCCTGGTGCCCGCTGTGCGCTCAGCGGCCCGGCCCGGGGCTGACGGCGTTCGGCCGCCCCGATTTTCCGTCCGGTCTGCGGGCAGCCGAAGCTCCCCGCTGGTCACTCCGAGCCCCGCTGTTAAGCGAGGATCCCTCCCACCCGCCCCGGGCCGGCGGCCCTACCGCAGGCCCCCTCTTCCCCTCGCAACCCGGGCCGCCCCGTGAGCCCGACGGCCCCGCAGCGGCCGTCCCCGCGCGGCCGGAGCTCCGCACCGCACCGCCCCACCGCACCGCGGCGGCTCCGGGAACGCGAAAGGTCGGGGCCGCGGAGGGCCGGCCGGGCTGAGAGAGGGGAGGGAGAGGCGGGGAGCCGGAGCGTGCGGGAGGAGGAAGGACGGCGAGGAGCCGCTACCGGCGAGAACGGAACGTAGTGTGCGAAGGGGAGCCCCGCGGCAAAGCCCCGCATCGCGGCAGGTGCGGGCCGGCCCCGGGCGCTGCCCGAAAGGGAAAGCCGCGCTCCGCCTCCCGGCTATAAATAAACGGGCTGCGGTCGGAGCCGATTAGCGGTGCGGGTGGCGATGCCGCAGAGCCGCGCTGCGGGCTGAGCCCGCCCCGCCCGGAGCTCCGTTCCGTTGCAATATCTTTCCTTCCTTTTCGTTTTCCTCTTTTTTTGTTTTGTTTTGTTCGTTTGTTTTTATTAAGTCCAAAATATTTAATCCCACTATTCAACCGCTGACTCTGACAATAAATAGCAATAACTTACTTTTGTTCGTTTAAAGGCTCAAACAATCCGTCCTCCGTCCGTCGTTAACGCCGGCAGCGCTGTCCCGCCGCACCGCCCCGTCTCCGCTCCGCGGCGCTGCGGGAGGCACCGGCGTGAGGCGGCCCCGACGGCCGCGGGGTTCCGTCCTCCGTTCGCTTCGATTCGAGTTTTCGTTTCTGTTCCAGGCCAGGAAGAAGCGCCGGCGCCGCGCCGGGCAATCCGCTTTCATCGGGGAAAAGAAACATCGAAATCCGCAGCGCCGAACCTCCGCGCAACGAAATAAGCGGGGCGGGGGCTCTCCTCTCTCTTTCTCTCTCCGTTTCGGTGAAGGCAGCGAGAATCCCGGCTCTTTTCGGCCGTCGGCAAGGTACGTTCGGTTTGGTTTTAAATAGGGATAATTAAAAGACAAAGGCGCTCGTCCGGCGCGCTGGGCGCGGCGCGGGGCCGGGTGTCTCATGCAGGGAGCGCGGCATGCGGAGGTCCCGCGGCGGCGGGGGCCGGGCGGCCTCACGTCTCGGCCGGGCTGGGCACCATGCTGTTCGGGGTGTCGGGGAGCTGGGAGGACAGCGAGGTCACGTCGCTGCCGGAGGACGTGCCCAAAGAGCCGGACTCGGAGAACGAGACCTGGGGGAGCAGCGGCGATGAGCCCCGCGGCGGCCCGCCCGTCCCCGCCCCGCACCGCTCCCCGCCGCGCCCGGGGCTCACCAGCTGCTGGAAGGCGGCGGGCGGCTCCAGGTCGCTCTGCAGCGCGAAGTCGCTGAGCGCCTTCCAGGGCGGCTGGTAGGTCTGCACCTCCACCGCGCTGCCCTGCACGGCGCTCTCGTGCCGGACGGGGCTGCCGGCCACCAGCGGCGTCCCGGTGAGGCCCTGCAGGCTCTGCGGGCACGCGGCGCTTCAGCGCGGCGCCCCGACTCCCCCCCTCCCCCTCGGTCCCCTCCCGACCCCCCGCTCGGCCGCTCACCGTCTTGTCGTTGTGCTGCTGCTGCTGGAGCTGCTTCATGAGGATGGACTTCTTCTTGTCCTTGCAGCGCTTGTTCTGGAACCAGACGCGGATGACGCGCGGGCTGAGCCCCGTCATCTCCACCAGCTGCTCCTTCATCAGGGCGTCGGGTCTCGGGTTGGCGGCGTAGCAGGTCCGCAGCGTGTGCAGCTGCTTCTCGTTCAGCACCGTCCGCACGCGGGTGGTCTTCTCGGCCGCTTTGTGCGACTGCGGCCGCGGGCCGGGCGGCCGTCCGGGCACCGGCTCTGCGCGGCGGAGAGAGGGAAGGAGGGAGGGAAGGAGGGCGCGCATCGTCAGCGCCGCCGCCGACGGCCGCCCGCGGCTCTCAGCCCGTCCGCCAGCCCCGAGGAGCGGCAGCGGAGCTGCGTGCCGGTACCTGCGAGGTGCGCGGGCGGCGGCGCGGGGCTGCGGGGCCCGCGGGCGGCGGTGCCGTCGGGGGGCGGCCCGTGGTCGGCGCGGCAGAGCAGGTCGCGCTCCCGGAGGCAGAACTGATCCCCGGGCAGCAGCTGGCGGCCGCAGGCGGCGCAGCGGAAGCACTCCAGGTGATAGACGTGGTCGCGGGCGCGCATCACCAGGTCGCTGCTGCTGAACGCCGCCCGGCACTGCGCGCACTTGATGCCGAAGAGCCTGCGGGGCGGCGGCGCGCCGTCAGCGCCCGGGGAGCGCGGGGCCGCGAGGGGCTCCGAGCTCGGTTCGGGTTCGTTTCGTTTCGTTTTAGAACGAGCGGGTCACCTGCCGTAGTCCCGCTTGCAGTAGGCCTTGCCGTCCCGCAGGAAGCACGTGCAGGTCTCGTCCAGCGGCTGCCCGCACTCGGCGCACTTGAGGCAGGCGACGTGCCACTCCAGGTCCGGAGACACCCGCAGCAGAAACGGGTCCTGGATGCGGCCCCCGCAGCCCGCGCACAGCGCCAGCCCCGGCCGTCCTGCGGGACCCGCGGCGTCAGCGGGTGGCGGGGGGAGGCTGCGGGCTGCGGGGCTTTGTTCTTTTGGAGGTTTGGGGTTTGGGTTGTGTGGGTTTTTTGGGTGTTTTTTTTTTTTAAACAAAAATTGAAAGAAAGAGAGAAATACGGACGGGAACGGGGAAAGAAAGAAAAGAACCACGACGGGAGAGAAAAGAGCAGTGGGAATTCCGAGGAGAAAGTTGACTGGGGGAAATCGTAGGAAATCAACCCAGAAAAAGATAGAAAAGTGGAATCTCGGAAGTGGAAATAAACGCAGAAACGCAAAAAGACCAATACAGAACGAGAGAGAGGCGGAAAGAAAGAACGAATAGAAAAGAATTAACGACGGAACGACAGAAAGAGAAAGAAGCGCAAAGGGAAAAAAAAAAAAAAACGGAAAGAGAGAACGAAGGCAGGAAAGCGGACAAACGAAAACGGAAAGGGACATCGGGCAGACAGAGAGAAAGAACCCCAAACAAAAACGGAAGAACAGAAAGAGAAAGAAAGAAAGGAAAACGGAAAGAGAAACAAAAAAAGAAAACCGAAACGCGGAAAGAGAAAGAGGGAACGAAAGAACGACGCGAGAAGGAAGGACGGAGCGGGCGCGGGGAGCGCGGCGGCGGCGCGGCCGGAGGGGCAGCGGGGAGACGCCGCAAAGCCGTGGCGCCCAGCCCGCAGCCGCCCGCGGGGCCCTTCCCGGCGCTGTCAGCGAGACGCCCGCCCGACGGCACCGCGGCGCCCCGCGGCCCTCCCGCCCCGGCACTTACTCTTAGCGGGCTCCCCCATGGCGCTCGGGAGCGGCCGCGGCAGGAGGATGTCCACCATGCGGGCGGCCCCGTGCGCACCGGCGGCGATGCGCGATGCGGGACGCGGCGCCGCCGCTCCACCACTACCCGCGCCGCGCGGGGCGGGGGCCGCGCCCGCCCCCCCGGGCCCGCCCCGCCGGGCAGCGCCGTGATGTCAGCGCGCACCGGCCGCGGGGGAGGTGGAATGGAGGGGGGGGTGGGGGCGGCGCTGACCTCACCGCGCGGCCCCCGGAGGCGATTGGCGGCCGCGGGGAGGGCGGGCGCGGATTGGCCGCGCCGAACAATGGGCGCGCGGCGGGGCGCGGAGCGGCGCGGATCTCCCCGGAGCTCCGCCGGGCACCGGCATCGCGAACCCGTCACGGAGCGCGGAGGGCGCGGCGGCGGCGGCCCCGGGGGACGGGCGGTGGCGTCGCTTTCCCCGCGTGCCCCGTTTCCCTCTTTCCCGCACTATTCCCCGTCCTCGCCGTCGCCGTGAATTTAATTCTCTCCTCTTCGCGCTCCACTTCGCCGCCCGCCTCCCGTCCCCGTTTTCGTTGCCGCCGCTCCAGGTTTCGCTGCGGGGCGATGCTGTCGGGAGCCGGACACCGGCGGCCGCCCCGACGTTCGCGTTCGCGGCCGTCGGCCCCGTCGGGGCGGCCGTTCCCGACAGCGGCCGCTCGGGATCAGCGGGAACAGCCGCGCGTTGCGGCGGCTCCGTGCACCTGATCCCGCCGTGCTCCGGCAGAGAAACCTCCCGCGTTTCTTTTTTTTTTTTTCCTCCGTTCTACTCATCCCCCCTCCCCCAGTCTCCACGGGCTCTCTGTGCATTAGCGGAGCAATAAGCAGAGCACTCCAGCGGCCTCTGACTCGGTTTTAAATTCCCGCAGACTTTACGGCACGGCGGCAGGAGCGGCTCCTTGAGAACCCCGGCACGGCGGAATCGCTGCCGCCCCGGGGGCTCCGCGCCCGCCCGCCCCGCCGTGCCGTCGCCTCCCCATCGCTCCGTGCGTTGCGGGCCGTGTGACGGGCGCGGGTCCACCTGCGCGGGTGCGGAAGGATGCGGCTCGGAGAGGCCAGGCTGCGGAGCGGGCAGATGGGTTCTCCGACCTGAGAGCGACTCTGTGGGTCCGGCACCCCTCGGCTGTGACACCGCAGAGGAGCGGGAGAGGAGGACTCGGCTAACCGAGGCCGTCTGTTTGACCCGCACCCCCCGCTTCGAGATGCTGAAAGCGGCCGCGTCGTGCGTTTGTGCGGGAGTTGCGGGGGGAAGAGCAGCGGTGTTTGAGGTCATCCTCCAGCCGGGGGATTTGGGCATCCCTGCCCGCCTCCAGCAGCGATCCGCCGGTGCCCGCGCATCCCCCGGCCGCATGGCAGCGGCACCGTGGGGTTCGCAGCTGATTGCTGCCCGTCACCGGGGTGCTGAGCAGAGCCGGGTGGTGCGGAGGGCTCTGACGGCGGGCTGCCGGCTTTTCACTGCGGCATTCCCCGAGGGGCAGGTGTCGGGGGCCGGAGTGAGTCAGTATCTGCGTGTTATTGGCAAAATGCAGACATGAAATGTCGGGGTTATAGGAGAACGAGGCGCATGTAAGGGTACGGCGGCTCGGCAGGCACGGTGTGTGTTGCATCGCTCCTTTCCCCACTCGAGGGCAAGGTTCTCTATGCTCACCCAAACCTCCCACCGTCTGGAGAGCAGGAGAGGTTACAGCAGGGCCAGCCCAGCGCCCCTGCCCTGCCAGGCTCACCTGTGCCAGCGTGCACCAGGCAGAGCCCAGGAGGGGCTGTGGTCAGGCAGGCGGGGTTTGGGCAGGGAGCAGGTAATGGCAGCGCGCTGGAAAACCCCGAGAATTCAATTGCCGCGGAAACACCAAAACACCAAAAGCCCCGGACCTCCTGCAGAGGTGTGCAGCGAGTGCAGGTAACGCCAAGAGGCACAAAAGCAGCACCTCACGGCCCCGAACAGGGGCTGATGGCTTGGAAAACAGGTTGGCTGGCATTGCTGGGGAGCCGTGAGTGGAAGCCCGATGCCCTCCCTCGGGATGACGCTCCCTGCTGCCCCCGGTTCCCCTCTGCATCTCCGGGGGCAGCTGGGGCCGGCCGTCGTGCGGGGGGTTGGCATCACAGCTGCTCTCTGTATAACAGCTCTCCGGGTTGTGCTGCCACATACAAACACGAGTTGCCTCTAGAAAGGGGAAACGGTGACAATTTTGTTGTTTGCAGCAGATTGCAAAGGCAGTGAATGGCGATTCTTTCCGAGCCAGCCGTGGATTAAGTCCATTATAAAATTAAAACAGATGGAACGCAATTTCACTTACATTACAAAAAAGGACAGGAACCATCTGCAGTAAGATTTAGCATTGCAGAGCTATTGTTATCATGTTACCATTAAAACCTTTGAAGAAGGGTTTTCTTTTCTTTCGGAAACTTGTCCGCACGAAACAAATGTTTTCTTTATCCATCTCCCTAGGATTATGATATTTTATTTAAAAACACGACGTCTCTCAGCCCTGGCTTTGGCTCTGGCAGGATACGCTGAAGCAAAGGTGCTAAAACTTCAGCATTGAACTCTTTGGGTCTTCGGTGAGGAGGACGTGCCAAAATATTCCCTGGGCTTTCTTCCTTTAAAAACATTTCCTCGGGTTTGGGGACAATGTCTGATACTGAAAATAGATGATTAATGAGATAATGGGATACTGCATGTCACCTCCTGTCCGATGGGATTATCTGATGGCTAATTATGGACAGATTGTGATTAATGTGATTATGGATTGGTTATTAATCTGATTCTGGATTGATCTAGTTATGTTTTAGTCTGCTCCAAATGGTTAATTGGATCTGAGATAATAGAAATGCAGCTTGCACCAGATTTTGCCACATCAGTTGATGAAGTATCTTTTGATCTGGGTGGGTTGCGAACAATAAATTATTTACAGCTGTTGAGAAAATGACTCTTCCTTAGAATGTAGCCATTCATTTTATTTTCGAGGGCCTTTGAAAACAAAATCAATATCCTTTTCAAAAGGAGATGTTGACAAAAGAAAGGCACGTACATAACTCACAAACAAATGTGACGAAATTAAACAGCGGTTAACCCGGTGGCCCAATGTCTGGTGATGCATTTGAATTGCTATGTGGAGCTTTGGGCTCAATTCTTCTGAGACCAGCAGGGGTTGGGAGCATTGCAGGGGAAGAGGGCCCAGCTCTGCAGAAAGTGGTATTGCACAAGAGCCGCTGCCAGCCCTGCTATTGATTAAGAATCAGCCGTGGTAGAATGGCAAAGGGAGTCCTTGCCACCCCGTTGCAGAAAAAGCTCGTGGGCTCATCCCACCACCTCGTCTGACTCCCTTTGCACCAGGCCCTGCACTCGGCCTGGTGTTATTCTTCCTCCCCTCACACTGAGCCCATTGATTTCTGGGCGACCTCAGAGATGCGTCTGGTCTGGATGCAGCCTGCCAGCATGGGAGAGGCTGCCCAGATCCCTGCGAGGCCGTCCTGCTGCCTCCCTACTTTCACTGAAGTGCAAATTGAGTTCACATTTTTGGGATCTTGTGCCATTTTCTGCCGGGTGAAGGGCGGTGGCTGTGATGTGGGGGTTGAGAAACGGGGCTGAGAGGAGCGTTGGCACCAGGTGGGATGGGCAGCAGGTCGCTCACAGAGGTGCCCGCAGTCAAGCAGGTCTCAAAGCTCTGAGAACAGGTTTATTGAGGCTGGATTGAAGGAAAAGAAAGGAAAAGCAACTTTCCTTTTTCTATGCTGCCATTCCCCCAGGTGCTGCTGCAGGAGTGCTGTGCTGCTGCCAGCACCCCATCCAGATTCCTCCCCAGCAGCACGACGGGCAGAGAAAGCAGCTCCTGCTTAAAAAATAATGCCATACAGCCCAACGGTGCATTTTACACACATCTGCCATTAGCAAGGAGGTGAGGCAGGAGGAGGGATGCAGGGCATCACAGTGGGCACTGTGCAGGGTGGAGAGGAGTGCTATGCAGGGGACCCCTCCCTCCCTCCCTCCATCTATCTATCCATCCATCCCTCCCTCCCTCCCTCCATCTATCCATCCATCCATGCAGGATGGTGCAGCAGGAGCTGCCTGCTCTGAGAGCCCACCCTATGTTCTGTAGGTGCCTGTATACATCCCTCCTTGCCTGTCCTTGGCAGGAGGGCTGTCTCTTGCTCACTCACTGACTTGCACTTGGGGAGCACTGCCAGCTTGCAGGCTTATCACCGCGCCCTTATTACCTGCTCAGCACCTGGAAATGGTTAGTGAGAGGTGGCAGAGAAGGGGAAACACCTGTCAGCAGTGGCTTTGCAGGGATGGATGGTTGCTGGGGTGTTGCTGATGGAATGCTCCTCCCTGCACCCTGTGTTGGAGGTAAGGCTGGTGGTGCTGTGCTCACCTGAGGGCTCACGGAGGGACTTGTAAGACAAAGTGCTGGTGGCAGATGTGGGTGGGTGGCTGTAAGGTGATCTGGGCAGAGCACTAAGCTACACCTGTGCTGAGGTTTTACCCCAAAGGAACCCAAGAATGTCAGGCTTGTGTCTGTGGCAGGTGGGTGGGGAGCAGGGCCTTGGGGAGGTGTGTGCCATCCCATGCCAATGGCCCCACCTTTATGGGGAAGGGCTTTGCAGCACTCAGGCACAGAGTATTTCAGCAGCAGAGCTCTCCCAACACAGGTTGTCACCCTGTCTCCCACCCCCCACAGGCACCTGCCTGGCCTTGGGCTGCAGATCCTGCACTCTGAGCCCTAAGCAGGTTGCAGTTGCTTTAACCTTATTGGATTTTGACAGATTAGGAGGCGAATCCTTTCGTGTGGTGGAGAAGCCTCCCAAATGAAGCTCTTCTAATTTACCTGAGTCAGCTCTGCCTGGTGGTGGTGGTGGGAGGAGTAAGCTGAGGATGACCCCTGCCAGAGGGGACCATCATAGCAGTAATAAAAATAAGAATAATAATAAATTCCTCCCCTTCACTAAATCCCATAGCTGTGAGGCTGTATTAGCTGGATCCCATATGTTTTAATTAGGAATTATGTATTTGAAGGGAACCAAAATCCGATTCTGATGGAGATGTGGCAACACTTTTGTGATGGCTCTTGTTCCACGTTCCTTCTGTCAGAGGCCCCAGGGCAGG